CTACTGTCAACTTCTACTCTCTTTGACCCTAAAGTGCTGCTCATTTCTGTTCTTCAGATGATAGAATTTGACAGCTGAGGGCCTCACTTCAAAACACTTGTGTCACTCTCTCTACCATGAGAATGAACAGAAAAGCCAATAAGATATTGCAATCTTAAGCAGCATTATTACACAGTTTTAAATCCTTCTCAAATTTTTACTTCTTGTTCTCTTCCCTGCCTTACATAGGAACAAGGAGAAGCAATGATATATGAACTGAGGCAAAAAAATCAAAAAGCACTACCCCTTCTGCAATAAACCCTACTGTTGCTAAAAGAATGTTTTTCCCAGGTAATTTTTATGCCAATACCTTTGAGATCATGTTAACAACTTCCATATTTATGAAAACAAAAGAACAGGAACAAGACATGTTGACTTGCATTTGTCCACGAAAAGGGGACAAATAGTTCTAGACCTGTCAAGCTGTCTAGAACTGTCAAGATGATAAACCTGATATTCCTTTCCTTACAATGCTTCATAAGAACAGAGGCTCCCCTCCTGGTATTCAGGATGCCCTATGGGACTACCTGAAGTCACCCAAGAGGTAGCCTGAGCAGGATCCTGCAACCCATCCTAAAGCAACGTCCCTTCTGAACCACAAAACAGTGGGAAGAAAGTAAAACAATAAATCAGTGTGGCATCGGATTCTGACAGCAGCTCAGCCTAAGCTTAAGATAAGGGTACACAATCAAATTACTGTAGAGTAAGCAAATGTGCAAATTTAACACATCATCTACTTTATAGAAGCTGGTCATACGAATACTCTTATCTTACCACACAATACAGATGGCAGTTTATTCCTTTTCACCTAGAAGGTTACATGTGTTTCACATACTTCTTCAACAAATCTATTTCACACACACTAGGAAAAGAAAAGGGCTTCAAGCAGTTACCAGGCAGCAGCTGGCCTAGAGCAAACACAGGCATTGGCTGTCTTGCAGCACCTTGTTTACATATGCACTATACATATATCTGTATTCTCAGATATAGCAAATCACATCTGTAGGCTATATATGAAAATAATGTGATGCCCAGAGGGTATCTACCAAGAGATCAATGTGCTGTTTTTTCTCAAGTGAAGGAAGAGCTTGCTCCAACAGCCAATTTGCTGTTCCCGAGACTATTTCTGGTACAAAACTCTACAACTCAGTCTCGAAACAAGAAAGCCAATCTGGCTTTTAAAGAACATGTAGGGAGAAAGATAATTACTGCTATGCTTAGGATATGCTGTGAGATTATTGCACTGGCACTCAATACACTGCAGAGAGAAACAGATCAAGTATTTTAAAACTCCTGTACTCCGGCAGCCTAAATTTTAAAGACTCATTACATGGTTTTTCAGGTCAATTACTTTGTTTTCAGTTACAAAAAGAAAGTTTCATTAGGTAAACACCTCAAAAAAGTATTGTGAGATCATTAATTTATTTCCAGCAGAAGTTTATTTATTTTCTCATTATGGAGAGGCTCGGATTTTCTCAGGTGCCACAATGCTCAAAAGAAACAAAAAAAGGAATGAGTCATAACATCCCGGAATATAACACATGTAGTTTTTAAAGTACAAGGGAAAACTGTGGTTTCCAAGCCACTAGTTTTAGAAAACGTCCTAATTAAGCTGCAAAAGGAAAACATCGATTTCAGAATCTTCGGTTATTCACTGACATATTGAAATAAAACAGGAAATTTACAGATAACTTCAGACTAAGGACAAGAGATGAATAAACAACCTCTTAAGATCACATGCAGAGACAGAGCTGAGTAACTCTAATGAGACTTGACACATTCGAGGGTTAAAGGGACATTAAACCCTGCAGGCCTCATTTTTTTTTTCAATCTTTGAAAGCAATGAAGTTCGATTGGAAAAGTCATGTTGATTTTGTTTATTCTGTTCCCGCTATGTTTTTTCCATTTGAACTACATTTCTGACATTAAAATACATTTTTCTCATTGTTGTTGTCAAATCCAATTTCAAGCCTAAGCTACACATTCTGCCCACATTAAATAAGCTCTATAGATTCACATATAAGGACAGTTTCTTCAGCAAGAAATAATAAATGTCAAAGTCATAACTCTGAGCTTTTGTTTTTTCCCTTTAAAGGCAAAGCACATACTTGAAGCTAGCATAATACTTTCAGGCAGAAAATGAGTAAATGGACATTTGTTGGCATCATATATATAGTGTGTATATTGAAACATATCTTGTGCAGTGCATGAGAAAGCAATGGCAGGAGTTCAGCTGTAAGTGAAGACTGAAACCAATATATGGGTTGATCAGTACAATAAGATAATCTTCAAATTACATAGAATTACTTTTTAAAAGTGCTATAGCTCCTTAGTTCCAACAATTCCAGACTTACATCTACATTTTAAAACAGCTGTGGCAGAACTCCATCAAAGAATTACATCCAGCTCTGGACGGAGATGTAACTGAAATAATTTTGTAGAGGAAACAGGAAAGATACACAGCAAGAACTGAATATGCACTGCATTATTTAGAAAGGCAGAAGGTAAGCTGGAGTGAGGTTAAGGCTGGGTGATCAACCTCAGACCTTTTCCAACTTCTGTCCTTGGGGAGAAGCCAATGTTTGGTGTTTCTCCTCATACCACATCGCCTCAAATAGTGCAGTATTCTCTTAGAGAAAGCCCTGTATATCAAGCTGCAAATGCTACTTAAAAAAATATTAAAGCAATACAGATAATAGTGTATCATGTTGGTTTATCCTAAAGGTACATTAAAAGAAGACACAAAAGAGGCACTTAGGCCCTTCAAGCCAAACTGAAGGAAATATTTCTAGCATTTCAAGTTTCACCTGAAGCCTTCACAGGCAGTAACATTTTTACTGAAATGCTGTATTACTAACCAGTTGTAAGTTGTCAGAAAACTGGCTTACATAGCACAAACCAGAGTAAGAACTTAATTCACTATTAAATAATTTCAATGTAGGAAAGAGATTCTATTGGTCACAGGACTGAAATTCCAATACAGGTGTTGTTAAGTTTTTAAGTGAGCAATAGCTTTATAAGGAATGCCTATATCTTACAGGCACTAAGTTCTGCAGCAATAACAAGAGAGGGATATTATCCTTCAGAACTGTCTTCTGGCAGTCTTCAGCCTTTTCCCTGCCTAGGAACTCCTTAACTGAAATGTCAAAAGCTGTCATGATGCTGTCAGCAGGATCATGAATCTCTAATCTTGTTTCACCTGTTCCCCATTTTTTTTTATATTCACATAACACATCACACACAAAATACTCTTCATCCCCTCTTAAATACCCCTCATCTTCCCTCTTTCTGCCCCAGTACTCTTTATGCCTCCTTCTTGAAAAAACTTGCTAAAATTTAGATTTGCCATGAAATTGTCCCACTTTCTGTTCTGATACTCCTCAGCATACCTTTTCCTCTTTTGCTTATTTTTTTCACCAGAGCCCTTTGTCCCCACCTTCCCCATAAACACCACCAAAACATACACTTAAAATTGATTTAGTCACACACCTAAGATCTGAAAGTCCTGAAATCACTGTTTAGTACTGAAAAATCTACCCAACTTTCTGAAACTGTAGTAGCGTATCAAATTTTAAGAGTACAGCTCTTGAGCACCCCCTAACACTTATTTGCACAGCTGTTTAACTCTTAAAAGATATGGGGTGAACTGCACAATCAGCAGCTCTTCTAGAAACGGGGACATAAAACGCAGCTGGTTAAGCAGAGATAACCTGCTTTATTACATGCTTTTCAAAATCTAAACAAAATCAGTTCTGTCACACATATTAAAAACGGGAACGTTTTAAATGAAGCACAAAGATGCATTAAATCGCTTTTCATTTTCCAGCAAATTCTGATTAGCTATGAGAGCTCTGATAATTTAATAAATGGTGGAGTCAATAACAAGTTGACATACTTGAGAGGCAAACACTGAGAATTGGGCTGGTATTTCTGCTTGATGACTGCATTGCTTTTTCTTTACAACACCCACCACCCCAGTCCTTACAGGAAGCACTTTGTTGCTTCCCGTTTAACTCTACAATTAGCTGTGTTTCCATCCAATACATCACAATTTACATGACACCTTTTCATTGTAGGCACAACTCCTGTTCTCATCTTCAGGCAGATAAGAAAGGAATCTATTCATCTAACAGATGTCTGAACAAAAGTTAGCACACCACCATGCAAGCAAATATAAATACGAGCAATTCCCTTAAACACGGGGTGCTCTTGTTCTGAACCAAGAATTTGCCTTGGAGCTCTTTTAGTCATTAAATTGGCAGCGGTCAAGAAACGGGGTAGGAAAGGTAAGGAAAGCACTGAAGTAGGTCAGTTCCAACCCGCAGCTGGAAAGGCCAAAAGCGAACGCTTTCCAGCACCCCCGAGGGGCTCCCGCTTTCAAGCTCCCGGCCAAGCCAGGTATATCCCTGAAGCAAAGCCGCAGCTGACAAACTCTCCCAGCTCCGCGGAGTCAGACGGGGCGACAGCCCCAGCCCCGGGGCTGGCTCTCCTGCCAGAATCAGGTCCCCAGCAGCTTTCCCCCGCCCTGAGCTCAGCCCAGGCGCAGGGACTCGCTCGGGACACGCGGAGCGGTGAGCGGCGAGCCCGGCTCAGCCTCAGCCCCGGGCAGGACGTGCCCGCACGGCCAAACGTGCCGAGGGGTGCGGGGAGCCCGTATGGGACCCCGGGGAGGGCTGTGCCCCGAGGAGGGCTGTCTCCCGAGCAGGGTGCGCCCCTCACCGCTCCCCGCCCGCTTCCCCGCGCTGCCCCCCGAGCGAACCGAGGGCGCAGCGCACGGCGCTGCCGGACAGGGAGCGCGCCGGCGGCTCCGGTTCCCGTCCGGCGGCAATCCCCGTCCACCTATCCCCACGTTCCCGCCGCCTTGGAGCGAGCCGGGCGAGGCTGTCCGGCCGCGGGGGCACGCGGACTCTCCGCCTGCCGGGCGGAAACCGCCGCTCCCCAAAGTTTACCCGGACACTCACCGGCGGAGCTCATGGTGCTCCCCAGGCACGGAGCCGGACTTCCCCTCGTCCCTTATGCCACGGCCCCTCTAAGGGCCGAGGAGAAGGAGCCCATTGTTCCCCCGCGCCGCCACCCAGCCGGAGGAGCAGCCGGAGCAGGAGCAGCTCCCCCGCCCGCCGCCGCCGCATCCCACCCCACGGCCGCAGCACAAGGAGCGCCCTCAGACACCGCCCGCCGGCGCTCCCTACTGGCCATCCCTGCCGGGCCCTCGCCCCGCCCCCGGGCCCTTGCCCCGCCCCCCGCCCCATCAGCCCCGCCCACAGGGCGCCCGAAAGCGGGCGCTCGCTATGCTTTCTGGGAGCTGTAGTTCTCCCCGGCGCTAGGCAGCGCCCAGAGGGGCAGGGCGGGGCCAGGCGGTCGGCGGCACGGCGGACTCTGTTTCCCAGCGTGCCCGCGGGGAGGGGGTGGCATGGCGGGCAAGGATGACACCGGAGTTCGACGAAGAAGTGGTGTTTGAGGTGGGCGCGGGGCGATCCGGCGCGGGCCGGGCCCGGGTGTCTTCGCCCCTCGTTGCGCCGCGACCCCCGGGGGCGGCGTGCTCTGGGCGGGTCGGGTGGACGCGGTGCGCCAGGCGGGCGCGGGGCCCGGCCCAGGGCAGCGCCTGCCGCGGGCGGGCGGCGTCGGGCGGGACCGGCGAGAGCGGCGGGTCGGGGCGGTGCTCGGCGTGTCCCGCGCCCCAGAGCAGCCCGGGGCCAGCGCCGCGCCCTCCGCGCAGGCCGAGGGCGGGACGGCTCAGCGGGGCCGGGCGATCCTTTGTGCGGCGGTGCCGCGCTGGCCGGCCCCGCTGTCGGCCGGCCGCCGTGGGAGGTGTGGCGAGGCCCGTGGCGGCGGGGGCTCCCTGAGAGCCGCCCGTGAACGCGCCTCGGGCCGCGGAGCGGCGCCCGGTCAGCCGGGCTGAGCTGCGGGGTCAGGGCAGAGGGAGGAAAATAACTAAAAAATTCTGCTTCTGAATCGGTGACACTCACGTAAAAGGTGTCTTTCAGCACGCACCCAACTGTGCAGCGAGCACTGAAACTGCTTTTTCTCTGTAGTATTTGTGTTATTACTAGATTTGCATAAACCGTGTCATGTCACGTCTTGTTAGAGCTACAATATCACCTTGGCCTTATTTAAATACAGTGGCTAAATATATCAGCTGTTGCGGTTCGGTAATAAAATCGAGTCTGTTTGCAGCAGGTCAGTGTAATTGTATCTTAATGGAGGACACGCCTGGTTTTGCAGGCGTCCAGACTGGTTATAGAGAAATGCTGTCTTTAAAATGAATAATTATTATAATAGCAATAAGGCTTCTCCTTCAACCAGGATACAAAACACTCCTCACATAAGCAATTAATTTTTTTCTCAGCTGTGTAAATAGTACGTCTTCAGTCTTTGGTCCGTACCACAAAGTTTTGTATTCATCCACAACCAACCTTGGATAAGATTTGTTGTTTATGTTGCTGCTGTGTTAAATTGCTTCTTTTATACAGTAAATCTGTGGTAAGAATTTATTTCACAGGTATAATGCCTGCCCTCTGCATTTCTATCTTCAGTAAAAGTGCTAGTTGTTTTAGTTTCACAGTTCTTCAGTTCATGCAGCAGCTACCATTTTAATTGAAAGAGAGTGAAAGATCTCCTTCCATATACTCTTCACGATTATCCTTGTGTTTTCAGAACAGACTTCTATCACTAATAAAGGCTCTTGGATACATTTACTGTACCGTGTGTGTGTGTAAAGCCATACACACTTAGAGGTATACTGAGTAACACAGTAACAGATCTGTCATATATTATGGTACATCATAATAAAATCAGAAAAGCAACAGTAGGACAAATACAGGCTGTTTGGGTTGGCTGATTGGTGGGATTACAAAACTGGGTGGGCTGCCGACTCATAAAAATGGGTACTGTGAAATACACACCAAATCTTCAGGAGTACTCAGCAGGGTTCATGTTATTCTAACATGAAGGCTCCACAGAGAATTGTGAGCATCCTTCACACACCTGAGCCAGAGAGGTGAACTGGCAAGGAGCCAAAAAGTATTGGGTTAGTTAATGCAACAATATATTTGTACTTTTAATTTTTGTTTTCTTGGGCCCCAAACTCTCCCCCTTAATTATTTATCGTTTCTGGTATGCAACTACATTTTTTCTGCACCTCAGTAGGTCACTTCCCATGTTCTTCAGCAATCACTGTTGCAAGAAGGCCTTTAGCATTTAGACCTCAGTTGCTGTGAACAGCTGTTTTCCCTGTGCGTTTGGAACTCCCTTCAGCAAGATATCAATCGGTGTTAGAAGGAGTCGTGGTTCGCTAACAAATGCCTAATCAGGAAAAAAGTGGTCTTTTGTGTGTCTCATATCCAAAAGGATGGGTAGGAGAGGGAAGCAAATGGGATATACTTCATGTGTTCCATATGATGGTTATGCCCAGGTTATTTTTTTCATGTTTTGTTGGGTCATAGTTCTGTCCAGCTGGCCCTGAAAACATCAATAACAGGTGCCCACATTAGAAATTTTGCAGCATCAAACAGATGATGGCCTGCTGATAAATATTTCTGAGCTTCCGAGGACCAATAATTTTTCTAAGTATCCAAGTATCTTTTACATTAATTTATCTTTGAAAGCAAGGAAGCGCAAACACTGCATTTCTGCTTTGGAAAAGCAGTGTTTTCCATCAAGTTCAAATGCCACTGCAGATCATCATGACTGAACAATAGTGAATGATGGGCAGTTACTCTGTCCACCAAATACTGCCATATTCTATCCAATTTATAAATTAATTCCTGCAGCAGCCACTAATTTTTATTCACTGACTGAATAGTCCCAGCACTTCAGTTCTTGCATTTGTCTTCTAATTAAAATACTACAAACACAGTGAGGAGGAACAGAACTCAAGAAACACAGAGGTGCCCCTGATATGTTAGGCCTGGGCTTGTCTACCCAGCAGCGTGACAAATTAAAAATCGTGGCAGTGTACAGCAGATTGTTCTAAACAATGGAGGAACAATAAATGGTGTTCTTTATTACTGTCTGTCTGAATTTATTAAGGGAGATCATGAGATAACAAATTGATGTTGAGTTGGTTAAGATGAGTTTTTATACTAAACCTGGAAGACAATTATGCTGCAGTTACAGTGTACTTTGGAATCCTCTGGAAATTTTCAGCATTTTGTTTATTTGTATGAGACTGGAATTGTGTTAGATTTTTGGTGTGTGGACAGTGTGATCTCCTTGTTTTATTTTTATTTTTTAATGTATAAATTAAAGAAGCTTCTTGTTCAAACCAGCTAAATTTCTGCATCATTATGCCAGTGGAGGGATTGTGTCAGAACTTTGATGATTTATAACTGCCATCTCTGACTGGAAATTTATTCATTGCCACTTCATACCTACTTTCACATCAACTAATATCTTCTGTTATCTTATATGGTTCTTATCTGTCTCTAGAATTTACAGAATTACAGAAACATTTAGGTAGGAAAAAACCTCTGAGATCGAGTCCAACCTTTGACTGATCACCATCTTATCAACTAGGACCATAGTCCAGTTGTTTCTTGAACACCTCCAGGAATAGTGAGTCCACCACCTGCCTGGGCAGTAGTGCTTAAGTACTCTTTCTGTTTAGGAATTTCTCCTGATGTCCACCCTGACCCTCCCCTGGTGCAGCTTGAGGCTATGTCCTCTTGTCCTTTTGCAGGTTGCCTGGGAGTAGAGGCTGACACCACCTGGGAGTAGAGGCTGACACCACCTGGCTACAGCCTCCTTTCAGGTCACTGTAGAGGGTGATGAGGTCACCTCTGAGTCTCCTTTTCTCCAGGATAAACACCCCCAGCTTCCTCAGCCACTCCTTACAGGACTTGTGTTCCACACCCTTCCCCAGCTTCCCTGCCTTTCTCTGGACATGCTCCAGCCCTTTAAAGTCCTTCTTGTCATGAGGGGCCCAGAACTGGACACGGTACTCAAGGTGTAGCCTCACAGTTCCAAGTACAGGGGGAGAATTGACCTCTCTTGACGTGTTCATAGAAAGCAAACTTATTCTGGCTAAGCATTATGTTAGGCTGGATAAGCCAATATATCTTAGCTTCCTTTCATGAAATGGATTTTTCTGTTCTTCATGTTTCAGGGGTTTTCACGTCTTTTCAGTTCATGCTATTTTACCACATCTTGTAGCATGGTATTCGGCATTCTTGTTAGGGTCTTATACAGCTATTTTCACTTTTTGCCTCTGAGAGTACTTTGTTTCTTGCATGCTAGGCCTACAAACAATGTTTGCAAATCTTCCTACTGTTTGACTCAGATATGATATGATGGGATAACTGCTCGTTTGTGTCCTTGATTTTATCAATAACTTCCCATTATTGGGGAGTTTGTTTTTATTACACCTCTGTATAAAGTCTTGCTGTTGTCTTTTGTTAAATTGCATGCCATTATCAATACCCAGTTAAGATCCTCCAGTTCTTTTTCTATAATGTCTCAGTCCTTTTCTGCATATATGATGCTACTTGGTGTTATCAGGAAATGTCATTAGCAAGGTTTTGGTATGTTTAATTATGGCAAATATCAAACCTTTTAAAAGTGCAAAAGCTTTGACCAAAGACTCATTCTTCATGAACTCCATTAGTAACCTTCTGATCCAATAGCTTCCCATTCAGTGTAGACCACTGTTATCTCTGCCATCAACATACTTGGTTCCTTTCCCATCTTTTTTATCTTAACTGATATGGCACAGTATCAAAAGTCCATACCCATACAGCATAGTGCAAAAGTCCATAAAAACTTTCTGCCTTTCCTTTGTGTAAAAAAATTAGTTGTCTTATCAAAGAAAGATGTCAAGTAAGTTTGGCACAATCTCCCTCTGGTGAACCCTTGTGATGTCTTCTTTGATGATCATTTGTTTTCTTCTTTGTCTTTGGATTTTGAAAGAACGAGTAATTATTCTTAGTAGCATGCTGGCTTTTGATCAAATTCATAGACGTGACATATTCTTGATTGCTTTTTCTACTTTTAAATATATGCACTGTGCTTGGATTTTTTTCTGCTTTTGAGTTTATAGCTTTATTAAAAATCCTTCCTGCTGCAACTTTCATCTCCTGTGCCCATTCTTTCAGAACACTGGGATGAAGGTGATCCAAATACTGCATTTTCAGCTTCCAATTTCTGCTTTCAGCTGTGTCCTATATTTTAATGAGTTTGTGCAAGCTTTTTTTTTTTTATTTTCCCTTTTTGCCTTTGGATAGATACTTATGCTGTGCTCACAGCAACACAGAATGTTTGATGACTCTGGAGGTCATGTGGTCTGCCACCCTGCTCAAGTAGAGTCATGTAGAATCAGTGGCCTAGGGCCATGTCCAGATGGCTTTTGAGTGTCTTCAGGGATGGAGAGAAATCTCACAATTTCTCTGTCAACCTGTGTCAATACTCAGTCATTCTCACACCAAAAAAATTTCCTGATGTTCAAAGGGAACCTCATGTGTTTCAG